CCTGCTCTCCCAGGAGCTCATCCCCGAGCTCTGCCAGGCAGGCACTGCCCCGGGGGCCGCTCTCACCTGTCTAGGATGGGTTTGTCCTGCTCCTCCTCGGGGCTGGCGCTGCCCAGGATCCGTTTCCTGGCCTCGGCGTACTCGGCCTCCCTCTGTGCCAGGGATTTCACCGGGAAGGCCGGGCGGCTGGCGCAGTGGGGGCTGCTGAGGACGCCGTTGGTGGTGGGTCTCTTGAGGATGCGGATCTGAGGGGGGGGCCCCGAGGGAAGGCTGTCGTCCTGGATCACGATGGGCACTTTGGGAGGAGATTTGGACTTTCTGCTGTTTAAAACAAAAACAGCAGGTTGGGAGTTGAGGGTTGTTTTTTGGTTTTTTTTCCTGCTCCCGGTGTGAATTCCTGGTGGGCAGATGCCATTCCTGTGATTAATGGCAGCCTGGAGTAATTAAAGAGCTCATTCTATTTGTAACCCTAAACTGGAGCAGCAGATTAGCTGGGAAAGGGATGGAAAATCAGGCCCTGCTGCATTTGACATCATCAAACTCCCCCGAAGGGAACAGACACTGCTTTAGCATTTCCAGTCAAAGACGTTGGTAGAAGCACCTTGATTTCATCCCCTGCAAGGAGTTTTGGGGCTCCTCTCACCAGGAGACCCAGCCTTCCACTCCAGCCCTGCCATTTCACTCCTCACAACCCCTCTCACCATTATTTTTTTGCATGGAATTCCCAGAGAATTAATCCATGACAATCAAAGGGGAAAAAAAATCCAACAAGAGCTGTCAGCAGTGATTACAAACACCCCTGGCAGGAGGCAACAACACCCCTCCCCACCCTCAGCCGAAGGAAGCAGGAAAAGAAAGTCTCCCTGATGCAAGACAAGGCAAGTCCACTCAGGGCCAGGAGTTGGGATTACCTGACTCACCCATTTCTTCCTGGGAGAGGCTTTTTCTTACAAGGCTTCCCCAAAGCTGTAGCTACATCCCGTCTGGAAGACCCGGCTCTGAAATAAAATCACTCTCAGGAAGCTTTTGGCTGCCCTGCCGTGGGTCCCAGGGGCCATGCAGTGGCATGGATAGAGGGATTCCCTACTGCTCAGCTCCACCCCAGCGCTCCCTGCTCAGTCTGAAGCCGTTTTCCCGCTGTTCCCACTCCCCAGGCCTCCAGCTGTCCGAGGGCTCCTCGGGAAAAGCGGGATCTCAGCGACCCCACGGTGTTACCTTTCCTTCTGGGTGATCTTCAGCTTCTTCTCCAACCGTCTGTCTATCTCCTGCAAGAGAGGGACACAGGAATGCAAACATCAGGGATTTAATCCAGGAAAGCCCAACCTCATCCCAGGGGTCGGAGTTTGAGCCTGGCTGAGCACAGATTTAATGTCACTCCTCTGTACCTACACCGGGGGTAGGCAGGGTGTGATTCCATCCCAGGATGACCTGGGAATAAAGAGACAAGGAAAAGCAAAGCCAGCACGGGTATTCCAAGAGAAAAGTAAAGCACCACGTCCATTCTCCTGTAAGCAGGAATACACCTACAGCAGGCCGGGGATCCAGTGGGGCACGGCCTGATGCACTCACTGCTCAGTGTAGGCATTTCAGGGGGCCAAAAAAGCTCTATTTAGGGTAAAAAAATGGGATTACACTGCAAGGTACTCCCAGATCCCAGCAGGAACCCGTGCTAAACCTCCCGGGCAGAGGAGCAGCAGCAGCCACTGGCCAGGCTGATCCACAGGCCTGATTCCAGCAGGGAGCTGAGCCTGGAGCTGGGCTGATCCACAGGCCTGATTCCAGCAGGGAGCTAAGCCCACAGCCATGCAGAGGACTGGCCAGCAGGGCCTCATTCCTGCTCCTGCTGCACCAACCCTTAGTCAGGAGAAGCCCCTGCCCTGCCCCACACGCAGCCAGGGAGCTGCTGGAGTGGATGAGAGCCCGGCTGAGCTGCTCCTGCCCTTCACTGCCGAGTCATCCCCGGTGGAAGGACACATTCCCCACCCGCAGCACCGGGATCTGAGCACCTCTGTCCGAGGCTGGAACCAGTCCACCAAAGGTGTTGGGGTGCTGTAATCCAAGGGATCACACAGAGACACTTGGCTGAAGAGGAGAATAAGGCCAAGTTCCAGCCCTTCTCCAGGTGACCTGCCCCAACCCCGCCGGTATTTTTAGACCCCGTGAAAAGAGGCTCCGAAATAGCTCTTCGTGTTTTATTGAATCACCAGTGAGGAGGCAAAAACGACCTGAGAGTGTCCTAGTTTTGCCAGCTGATAACTGGCAATACTCAAGGAAATTCCAAGCTTTTGGCAGGATGCAGCTGCCCTACTTTGAGGCCTGTTTGCTTCCCCAAAAAGCCACGGGAGCCGTCCCTGCCGGCACAAACGGCGGCGGGCACGGCTGGGCAAAGGGACTGGCCTGCACAGGAATTCCCTGCTCCCTGCCCCAGTGAGCAGGGAATGACCAGGAGTCACCAGGAGATGCCAAACCACAGTGTTTGCTCTGGGGTCACACAGGCCAACAGCCCGTGGGAGCCTCCACCTAGAAAGGAACGAATCATTTGGGGGAGATAAAAGGTGGGTGGGAGGTTGAATTCCCGACCAAACTCTGTCCTGGGAGGCATCAAAACCAGGGAGGAGCTTCATGAGGTGCTGGGCTGGAGCAGGGCACAGCCACAGCCTCCCATGGGGGCAAACACCCACAGCTTCCTTCCTCTCCAGGGGACTGGGAGGAAAACCCCATCCCAGGCAGGGTAAATGTCCATCAGCCACCTCCTGCCCTCCCAGAGAGGAACAGGGAAGCAGGAATCCCGGTGAGGAGGGAGGTGCTGGGGAGCAGCTGGAGGCAAACAAATGGAAGTCAAATCAAGGGGAAGGGGTTGACTCACCCCTGAGCCAGGCAAGGTGACATCCTGCTGCACAAGAGCCTTGGAAGCAGATCTGCAGACTCAGAGAGTCACCCACGCCTGCCAGGGCCTCCTGGGAGCCACGGGCTGGGGGGGGAGCTTCCCAACAACCCTTATTCGATATTCTGGCACGTGGGGGAGAGACAACGACGGCAAAACAGGGTGGAAGGTGGGGAAAACACACCCAAGAGCTTCCCAAGTCGTTCCACTTTGTGCTCAGAGTGGAATCAGCAACTCCAAAGCCAAGGGTGAGTCGGGATCACGGTGCTGAGCCCTGGGCTGGGACTGTGGGCATGGAACTGGGACAAGACACAAGGAGGGCTCTGCTCTGCTCCCTCTTCCCAGCAGAGCAGAGGTGCTCTGAGCATAGTCACGTTTCCACATCCCTGGGGGCTCCTCAGGGTCAGCCCTGCAGGTGGGATTGCAACATCCTGGGACTGCAGAGCGTCACCTGCAGCTCAGCCCCTGGAAAACACGGTGAGTCATGGCCCTGTCCCAGCCAGTCCCAGAGCACAAACCACCCCAACCACCCTGGGCAGCTCCTCATACAATCCCACAGAATCCTCTGGGTTGGAAAAGCCCTCCCAGCCCCCTCTGTGTCCCATCCCCACCTTGTCCCCAGCCCAGAGCACTGAGTGCCACGGCCAGGCCTTCCTGGGACACCTCCAGGGCTGGGCACTCCAAACCTCCCTGGGCAGCCCCTGCCAAGGCCTGACCACCCTTTCCAGGGAGAAATTCCTCCTGATGTCCAACCTGAGCCTATCCTTGCACAGCCATGTTCCTGGGCCCACCCTGGGCCGGGACAAGGAGCAAAGTTAGGAGCAGCTCATTACTGAGCTGCTCCTAACTTTGCTCCTTGTCCTGGCCCAGGAACAGGGCAGAGCACCTCCAGCCCTGGAGGCACCACTGGGACCCTCCAGACAAGGAGGACTGGAGCGTGTGCAGGGAAGGCAACGGAGCTGGGAAGGGGCTGGAGCAGCTCAAACATTCCCCAAGTTCCAGCCTCAGCTCTTGGAAGCACCGTGTTCTCTCCTCCACACGTAGAAATCTTGGCAGATTCACAGAAACCCACCATTCCCACACGTCCCACTCCCACCCCACCCCAGACTACTGCGAGTCCTGCACGATCCCCCTCGGAATTCCTGGCGCTGCTGAGGGGATTCCAGCTGCCTCCAGACAGCCACCGAACTTCTGGGCAGAAAAAGCCTCCCTTTGTGTTTAAAGAGGCGGTCAAACAGCAGCTCCTCACCTCACACATCTCTTGACGGGGCACAGGTTGTCTTTCCTATGAACAGCAAGGACAGACCCCCCCCCCTGTTTCTCAGGAAAACCCCCTATTTCTCAGGACACTCTCAGTGTTTATTCCAAGGATTTTTGGAATTGCAGCCTGGAAGGGTTTGAACACCACGTGCAGCCCCAGCCTGAGCATTCTCCCAGCTCGTGACAGGGATCACTGCTCCGAGTTAAAAGCAGGAGCACCTTGGCACGGCTCATTTTTAATTAAAATCAAATCCCTGCTGATGTGATGTCATTCCCTTCCCACTGCTGTGTCACGCTGGGGATAAGGAGATAAAATTAGGAGCTGACTCGGAGGGCAAGTGCCAGAAGCACTACAACAACCCAAAGGCACGAGCTCTCCAGAGGCAGCTGCGTCTGGAATCCGAGGATGTCAGTCCTGGGCAGGTCACGGCGTTCAAAGCCCTCTGATTCATCACCTGGGGAGGCTCCTGCACCTCCCATTCCCAGGCACGCTTATTTATAGCCCCAAAAACTAAGCCTGGCTCCCACCCCCTCCCCAAAGATCCATCAGGAATCTCAGCCCCCCCTATTTTTAGGGCTATTATGTCGGGATGCCAAGCGGGCCCCGAACGAGCAGCCCGAAGGAGACGCTGCTCTCTGACATTTCAGCCGAGGACGTCACGGAAACTGAGCTGTATCCCCATCCCAGCCCCCCTCCCTGCCCTCAGCCCCGGGGAAAGGAGCAAAAGGGACGGATGGAACACCCCTTGGAAGGCAGACATGGATCCCAGAGTGCCACCCTGCCACTCAGATCCCACATTCCCGTGTTCCGGCACCCCAAAGAACCTCCCCAGCAGTAAAGCTGGGAATTTGGGGATGTTCCTGGGGAGCTGCAGATCCATGCTCCATCCCAGGAATGTGTCCTGTGGATCCTACAGAGGTGGGGCTCTATGGTCACAGTCAGGGGGTTCAGGGACATTCCCAGCGCTTTGCAAAGCACAGAGTCAGTCCTTGGTGTGTCCAAAGGAATCCTTGGGAATAACTGCCATGTGTTGGACACACACAGAGCATGATCCTCCCCAGCAAGGACTCTCCAAATAGACTGAATTCCAGCAGCTCCAAGCTCAGGTTTTCACTCAAAGTTCAGTGCCTGACCCCAAGGGAGTGACTGAAGGCAGGAAGCGACTTGGCTTCCCAGAAACCCCTTACCCTGGGGGGTCTTTCCCTCTGTGCCTCCACAACCCCTGTGCAGAAACGCAAAGGAGATCCCTCCCAGACTCCCTGGCTATCTGAGCACATGCAAGCACAGCTCAGGAGAACCATTAACCCCGTTCTGGACTGTGTTTACTGCCCAGCACAACCTTCCACCCCTGCTCATGGAACAACGGGCAGGAGCCAGAGCAGCAGCAGGGAATTGGGGCTGGAGCCATGGCCTCCCACACACACACACGGGGTCCTGTGCTCCCCAAAGCACCACCCCGGCATTTCTGAGGGAATGAACTGCTTACTGTTCCTTCCTTCAGGAAATAAAGACAGGTTTTAGTAGATGAGGTCACCGAAGCTGCTGATGGCACCCAAAACTTGAAATGCTTCACCAAAACCACAGTGAAGCAGGAGCAGATGTGGCCAATCCTCCCATGGCATCACCACCCACCTATTGCTTTGCTTCAAGGATGAATTAATCTATTAATTACTGCAACGTTCCCATTCCCAAGGCTGCTGGGAGTCAGGCTGCTCCAGGAATTAACTCTCCAGGTCACCCTGCCATGCTCAGGCCCTGCCCCAGGAAAGCCTCAGATGTTTTGAAGCTGCTGGTGTTGATGTTTTCCACAGGCAGATCCTGCTGCTCAGCAGCAGACTGGGAAATGAAACCCAGGAGTATTTCTGGGAATGAGCCCGGCAGGCGCCACACGGAATTCCCAGCATGGATGAGCACTCGGGAGGGTGGCAGCAGCTTCTGGGGCAACACCCACACCAACACTCCCTTCTCACTTGTGAGGTACCTGCCAATCATTCCCAACACCCCAAACTCACTTTTCTTCCCCCCAAAACCTGCCTCTGCCAGGACACACCAAGCAGCAGGAATGGAAACTGCCATTTCCCAGTGTCAGGATCGTCTGGATCCATCAGAGCACCCAGAGCAAACTCTCAGCCAAAGTTCTCCCAAGGTCATTTTGGGGTGTGAAGCTGAAACCCATCCTGGGCTGATGCCAGGGGGGTTCTGCCCCTCTGTCCCCTGGGGTGGGACCCCCCTGCAGAGCTGCCTCCAACCCTGGGAACAGCACAGGGAGGACCTGGAGCTGCTGGAGAGAGTCCAGAGGAGGCACCAAGAGATCAGAGGATGGAGCAGCTCTGAGAGGGGGAAAGGCTGGGAGAGCTGGGATTGTTCACATGGAGAAGAGAAGCTCCAGGGAGACCTTGGAGACCCTTCCAGGGCCTAAAGGGGCACCAGGAGAGCTGGAGAGGGATAAAACACGGGGAATGGCTTCCCAAAGAGAGCAGGGATAGATGGGATATTGGGAAGGAATTCCTGGCTGTGAGGGTGGGCAGGCCCTGGCACAGGGTGCCCAGAGAAGCTGTGGCTGCCCCTGGATCCCTGGAAGTGTCCAAGGCCAGGTTGGACAGGGCTTGGAACAAGGTAGGAGGTGTCCCTGCCCATGGCAGGGGTGGCACTGGATGGGCTTTTTAAGGTCCCTTCCAACCCAAACCAGTCTGGGATTCCGTGACCCTCAGAGCCCTGACACCAAACCCCAGTGGTTTTCCCCGTGGACACAATCCCGTGGTTTTCCTCATGGACACGGCCCCTGCACACCAAACCCCGCTGTGTGGCCTCTGAGCACCCCGTGGTTCACAGCCCAGAGGTCACAGTGTCACCCTCTGGAACAGTTCCCCCTGAGTTCGCTGTACTTTGATCCCATTTGGCAACTCCAGGTGCCAGCAGCCCAGTCCCTCAGCTCCAGCGCCCTGGTGCCTGCCCTGTCCCCAGACCCCTGGGGGTGACAGAAATGCCCTGCCAAGCTGCCCCTCTGCAGACTCCCTGGGGTTGTGACACACGAGGGGATCAGTCCCAGCACTTCTCAAACCTGGTTTGGGGTGTCAGCCCAATGTTTGACCTGCAGAGCCATGGAATGTGCTGAGCTGGAAGGGACCCCCAAGGATCCTCCAGCCCAACACCCCAACAGTCCCAATCACCGGGCACAGAGAGGTCAGAGCTGCCCCTTGGGAGGAACCTGAACCATTCTGACCTGAAATCAGTGATCAGTGACCACTCTGCCACACTGCAACTCCAGCTGGCAGAGGAATAACCAAGGAACCCACCTGGAAAGCAGCAGCTCAGGGCTGAGGATTCCCTGAGAGCAGGGATACAGGGCTTGCCCTCCAGTTTGGGAGCCCAGCTTCCCTCCTGGCCTCTAATTATTGCTCTGAACAGGTAAACAGGCCTGAGTGTCTCCAACTGACCTCTCCCTGGTGTGTTCCAGCTGGCCCAGAGCCAGGGGAGCCACACAAGAGCAGAGCCCTGGATCAGGTGCCACCAGTGCTGAGTGACCCCCAATAGTGCTGAGTGACCCCCAATAGTGCTGAGTGACCCCCATCAATCAGTGCTGAGTGATCCCCATCAATCAGTGCTGAGTGACCCCCATCAATCAGTGCTGAGTGACCCCACTGGGCTTGGAAGCCTTTCCATCCCTGCTCCCAGCCTGGACAACTCAGTCCTTACTCACACCCTGCCCTTCCATCTGCCACTCCTGGAGGAGAAAAACCTCCCCATATCACAGGCATTCCAATCAGCGCCCTGTGCCAGTGGGATTTCTGGCACAGGAGACACTGCTGGAGCAGAGGGCACCTGCACTGGGCCATGGTCATTGGGGGGACACATTTCCAAGGAGCTGCTCCGTTTTTGGGGGGAGTTCTGACGGCACAGGACGAAAAGACAAACAGGAGCCACGTTAAAGATGTAAAATCCACCTGAGGATTTGTGTTGCAGCCCCCTGAGTCACCAAACCAAAGCTGTGCCGGGGTTTTTTGGGGGGTTTCCTTCAACTCAGTGGGATTTCTGTGCTGCCTGAGGGGAAGAGCTGCAAGAGATAAACCAGGAGGCTGTTAATGAGGAGGCTGTTAATGAAGAGGCCCAGGAGCTCTGCTCAGCCCAGAGCTGCCTCGTGCTGACACCCCCCCTTTGCAAGGCCTCAAGTACAATTTCTCAGCAGAACACCAAAAACCACACACAGAAAGCCAGCACTGCAGGGCTGATGTGTTTTCTTTCCCAAGAAACCCCCTCTGGATGGAATATTAAGGAATGACATGCTGAGACACAGAAATGTCCAGAATCCCCCCATGGATGTCCCACTGCATCTCCACTGTCCCCTTGTGCTGAAGGGTCTGGTAAATTAAATAACTCTGTGAAGGATCAGAATGTCAGCGTGGTTTGGGTTGGAAGGGACCTTAAAGCTCCTCCAGTTCCACCCCCTGCCATGGGCAGGGACACCTTCCACCAGCTCAGGTTGCTCCAACCTGGCCTTGGACGCTCCCAAGGATGGGGCAGCCACAGCTTCCCTGGGCACCCTGTGCCAGGGCCTGCCCACCCTCACAGGGAAGGATTCCTTCCAATATCTCATCTCCCCTGGCAGTGGGAAGTCATTCCCTTGTCCTGGCACTCTCAGGAGAACAGGATGGGTTTACAGCTGCTCTCCCCCCCTGCAGCCCTCCCAGCTTCCCACAGGTCCCAGCAGCAGCCAAGGGGCTCCTCCTGCCAGGCAGGGGATGAAAACCCCTCTGTGCCCCCAGCAATGCCCGAGGGCAGCCCCTGTGCCAGCCCTGCACACACAGCTCCCTTCCCACACAGCTCCAACTGCTCCACAGGCAGCCAGAGCCCAACAACTGCAGCTGCAGCTGCTCCTCGGGGGAGCTGAGGGAGCTGGGAAGGGGCTGGAGCAGCAGGAGGGGCTGAGGGAGCTGGGGGGGCTCAGCCTGGAGAAAAGGAGGCTCAGGGGGGACCTTCTGGCTCTGCAATCCCTGA